CCCCAGCCCCCTACACTGGGATTTTTGACATGTTTAAAATGTTATTAGAGATTCCAAAAGAGATTGAGCCAGGGTATTTATCCCGGCTGAAGCATGATCACCTATCTCAGGCATTAAAAGAGTCTGAGCGTTATTTCTCAACCACAGAAGAGCCCTAGACTTGGAAGGAGTGGATCTGCAAACCACTCGTGAATCAGCTAGGTGAATCAACTTTGTGCGTGCAAGATGATCAGTTATTTGAAATCACAACTGTTGCTAGCCTAAAAAGGATGTTTGAGACAAGTTTCAAATTTCCATGCGTTCTGCATTCAGGTTGAGGTGGACTATCCTGAGACTTCCGCAAAGCACTGAAAATCCTGCTTCCCTCTCCAGCATCCTATCTTCATGAAACAGAACAAAACAAACAAAAATGAAAACAAAGCAAACCCTCAAAAAAATCTAGTTTTGTTTTTCATTTCTATTGTGGTCTGTCATACTGTTTTCTAATTTTGTATATTTTTTCAAGATACCTGTAGATTTTTTCTTCCTGCTTTTTATTCCCTTTCCTGCAAGCTTTGCTTTCTTTCCTTCTCATTCTTCTGTCTCTTCCTTCCTGTCTTTCCATTTATTTTCTTATGTATTTAGAATTGAAGGCCTTTACACTGAGCTATATCCTTGGCCCCTTTTCCTTTTAAGAATACACTTTAGTATGAATTTGACTCTCATTAATGCCTATTTTTTAAGCCTATTGCGTACTACTATTTCTGTTTGTCATTTTTGGTTAATGGAACTGCTTTTCAGTTGTCAGTATTTCTGGTAGTTATTTTCTCCTCTCAAACCTGTGCTGAGGATTGAACCTAGCACTTAAACATGTTGAGAGGCTGCTCTGGCACTGAGACAGACCCACAACCTCAGGTGCATCCTCAAGAACACAACTGCTTATAAGACTCACATACTAGTGGAAGAGATATCCATTCCAATAGATGTGCCAATCTCAGAATATAAACATAAGGAACATGGAAGAACAAGGCAACAAGATGCCTCCAAAAATTTACAATTCCTCAGTAACTGAATCCATGGATACTGAAGTGGATGAACGGGACAGAGAATTCCAAACAATGTCAGAATAATCTGTGAATTCAAAGAAGATGCAAACAACTGAATGAACTAAGGAAGGTAATATGAAATATGAAAGACTATTTCAATAAAGAGATACAGATTGTGAAAAAGAACTAAACAAATATTGGAAGTGGACATCTTAGTAAGTCAAAAAATTCAGTTGAAAGTCTCACCAATCAATTAGAACAAACAGAAGAAAGAGAAACTATGAGCAAAATGTACATCTCTGGGACAACATTAAAAGACCAAACAGCCTGGGCATAGTGGTACACGCCTGTAATCCCAGCATTTCAGGAGGCTGAGGAAGGAGGATCACTGTGAGTTTGAGGCCAGCCCAGGCTACATAATGGCACAGACAACTCTGTGGACTTCTGCCTGCAGGCACCCTGGCTGGTGTGGCCTTTTGGGGCAGGAGCTGAGAAGGAACATACTACATTGTCACGGCAGCCCACACCCTCCCTATAATAGGCAGATTCCAATACTAGAAATCTGGCAAAGAAAGGTCTGTAATTTAAATACACACTCAAGCTGTGGGAGGCTGGGACACGAGCATTGCAAGTTCTCATGTAGTCAGTGATTTAGCAAGACCTTGTTTCAGGAAAAAGGGGGTGGGAGGCAGATGCTGTAGATATAACTCACTGTAAAAGTCCTGGGTTCAATCTTCTAGTTGATGTTTACCTTTGATGTTGGTTTGGTCCCTTGGGCTTCTATAACCAGATACCATAGACAAGCTAACAAATTTGTTTCCCATAATTCCGGAAACTGGGAAGCGTAAAATCAAGGCAGGAGCATATTAGATGTGGGTGAGGGCCCTTCCTGGTACATAGGTGGCCACCTTTTTTCCCTGTGTCCTCACAAGGCAGCACTGTAGGGCCTCTTTTTTTCCTTTTCTTTTTTATTAAATTTATTGGTACAATTTAGATATACATAATGATCACATTCATCATAGGGAATTTGTACCTGTATATGTTGTACCTCAATTCCTCTTTTTGTACCCCAATCCCCTCCCCTTCCTTCAACCCCTACTTCCCTCCTTATTTACAAAGTTTTGTCTCCATTTTACCTTTCTTTTTTGTTTTTTTTCTTTTCCCTTCCTTTTCCCCCTCCTCCCTCCCCCCTCCCTAGTTCCTCTTTCCTTTTGAACAGTTTCTTCCCAATTCACAGTATCTGTTGTACATTTTGGACCTTATTTACTCTTTCAGTTTCTCACACCAGCGAGACAGTGTGATATTTACACATGTGTTTCTGATTTGGTTTTTTTGTTTGTTTTTGTTTTTCTCCGGTACCGGGAATCAAACTCATGACCTCGCGCTTGCCAGGCAGGCACTGTGCCGCTGAGCTAAATCCCCAGCCCCCTGGTTTCTGATTTGTGAAGAGCACTAATCCCAATCCTGAAGGCTGTGCCCCGATGCCTAATTACCTTCAAAGGCCATACTTCTGATGACCTTCGTGATCGGATTTCAACAAAAGAATTTTGATGAGACACAAACTATAGAAAATATTATTTCCTTTCTTCTGCTTTCTTTTGGTTTAATTTCCTCATTTTTAGTGCTTTAAAGTGGAAGTTAGGACATTGGTTCCAGGCCCTTCAGATAGAAAGATTCATTGCTAAAAATTCTCATGTAATTTCAGCTGCATTCTACAGATTTTGGTGTCTTGTATTTTTTTGTTGTTGTTGTTCAGTTCAAAATATTTCCTAGTTTCTGTTACCTCTTTGACACAGTTACTCAGTTATGTGTTACTTAAGTTTCCATGAGTTACTTAAGTAGATGATTATTTTCCAGGCATATTTTTGTTATTGATTTCTTATTTGATTGTTTTGTGATTAGGGACATGTTTTGCATGGATTAAATCATTTTTACCTAATCCTTTGTAATACAGTCTTAAGAGTATGTTCTCTTTTATAAGAATGGTGGTGTTCAGGTCTACTCTATTCTGCTTGTCTACCTACTTGTCCTCTAATTTATTGAATAAGGGGTATTCAAATCTCAGATTGTACTTGTGAACTGGCCTATTACTTTTTTGCAGTTCTATCAGTTGTGCCCTTGAGTGTTTTTGTAGCTGTTACTGGGCACATAAACGTTCAGGATTATATACTTCTTGATTAATTGAACTCTTTACCATTATGAAATGACCTAACTTATTACATAGAAGAGAATTTTACTATGAGAAGTCTACTTTGGTATTGATATAGCCATTTCTGCTTAGCCTTCTTTTGTCAAATATTAGTGTAGTATTTTTGTGTCTTTTTAACCAATTTATGTCTTTCAAGTCTATTTCTCGTAAGCATCATACTTTTTATCATACTGACAACTTGCCTCTTAATTGAATTTTCTAGACCATTTTCATTTAACATGAAGTGCCAACCCCTATGCAGTCAAAATCTGTGTATATATTTTGACTCTCCAGAAATTTAACTACTAATACCTACTGTTAAACAGAAGCCTTACCAATAACATACACAGTTGATTAATGCAAATTTTTACATGTTACAAAGTATTACATATGGTGAAAAGTGCATAAGAATTGTAAGAGATCACTTTTTACTATGACATTTTCATGGTGAGATAAACTTCTCATGTGGAGAGATTAACACTCTGGCCTCACAAGTGGATGCTCTAACCATGGGCTTGCCACAGTAGCTACAGGAGGTGTCTCCGAAGTGATAGGTCTGTGGTCCTATGTCTTTGTGTTGTTTGTTTCTCTTGACTTCACATTGCAGTTTGTGTGCATGAATGTTGGTGGATTTTCACTTTTTCTAATGGATCTGTGTATATTTTATGGTTGTGCAAGATAGACTATTCTCTATATGTATTGCATGCATTTGTGACGTACTTTTTCCTTAACTCTTTCAATATTTCTAGGTTATGTGGTTCCTCTGTAAGGTTTTTCAAGTTACCTGATATCTCCCAATAAAACCTGACCTTGCAGTTCAAGACTGTTTTGTTCAGCGGTCAGCTGTAGGGTTGTCTGCCATGCCATTTGATTGCAGCCAGTTTCCATCTCTATAAGTGCAATTTGGTTTTTTAAAAACGTCTTTTGTGACTCTTCTGTCATTATTTTTGGATACAGTTTAGTTTCTTATAAACAGCTTCATCCTTCCTGGTGTTGATTTTATGATTTGTTAGGTGTATCAGAACAATGTTTAGTCTGTGGTTAATATACCAGTGCTGACACCAGAGCTTTCTGGTTACCCATTGTCCTGTGAATTGTGAGTTTCTCCAGCCTTTGTGGGCGGTTTCCTCTGACCTTTTCAGATGCTTTCTCCGCTGGCTGTGAGGTGGCATCTTGACGTACCCGTACTGTTACTCTGCTCAGTACCGAAGGAGAGAGGACTCTGCAGACCTCTAGGGTTCTTTCCATACTGTCCTTTCCTCTCTGTTGCTCTCCCCTGTGACCTCTGTCTGCCTTGGTTTTATCATACCGGTCTTCATCGCCTCAGCCAGGAAATGTAGTGGACTCCAGTTTGTGTGTTGGGGCAGGGCACTGAGACATTCAGAATGCTTACTTCATTTGATCATGGTTTTCATTGCCTTAAGTCCATTGTCCTGAACATTTGTTTGATGGATTTTTGTCTGCTTTGTTTTGGTTGTTTCAATAGGAATTTAAATTAGTACCTACAACTCCATCTTGGCTAGAAGACAATTGCCAGAGTCTCAGCACGCACTGTAGGCTCTTAAATCTTAAACAGTCATTTTATTTGTCTTTCTTCACTGGATTTTAAGCTAAATAAGAGTAAAAGTCTCCTCTTTATTCTTTATCTGCAGAGCTCAGTAAAATGTGCTCAGTTGTGGGCACACTGTACATATACTCATTCAGTGTATGAATGACTGAATTGGAAATGTAGTCTTTATACACAAAAGTGCTCAATTCATTTCCATCTTGTTTTTTCCCTGATACAGATTCTATTAGTGTATTAAAAATCTGGGATGCCTTACATTCATATAAAACAGTAATAGAACTTAAAAAAGATCAAGATGAACTACTTACAGGAAAAATTAAAAAACTGGAAAATAAGTTGAGGGAACTACAGAAGGAGCTAACGGAAACAAAAGAAGTGAAATCACAGTTAGAACATGAGAAAATACAACGAGAAAGAGAAATTGGCAATTTAAGGTATGTGTCCCTGTTCTAAAGATATGTTTAAACTGCATACTATTGATATGGATGAGAAATTTTGTCGGTGATTTATTGTCTGTCATTTTGCAAGGGAAAAGCTTCTAAGTCAACTTCTGAGAGTGTGACTTCTGGAAATGATAGAGTGGTAACTGTGAAAATACCTAATAATTAAATGCATACTCTTCTAAATAATAATTCTAGTGGCTATAGAAAAATCTCCCTGTTCAGCAAATAGAATTTTAGGGTTTTGTTTTTACATTATAAATAATGCTGCAAAGAACATTGCTTATGTAAATCATTTTCTATATCTTTACTTTGAATACATTCTTAATATAGGATAATGTTACTAGAGTGTAAGAACTTTCTTTAAAAAGTCTTTTTTTTTTTTTTTTTTTGTCTTTTTGAGACAGGGTTTCAATGTGCAGTTCAGGCAGGCCTTGAGCTCACTTTGTAGCCCAGATTAGTCTCAAACACACAACAATCCTACTACCTCAGCCTCCCAAGTGCTGGGATTACAGGCATGTGCCACCACGCCCAGCTAACGTCTTTGATCAGTATTTCTAAAATGTTCTCAAGAAAGTTTATATTAATTTACAGCACCTCCAACAGTAGAAATGGCCACTGTCTTAGTTACTTTTCTTGTTGCTGATACAGAATACCCAGTAATCCAAAGTCACAGGAGGAAAGATTTATTTCAGCTCACAGTTTGGAGAGGTTTCAGTCTATAATAGGCTGGCTCCAAGGCAGGGTGGCATAACAGAGCAGCATCACAGTGGAGAAACAGTCCACAGCAAAGCAGGCCAGGCAGGAAGCAGGAAAACAGTGAAGTAGCAAACAGCAAGACCACATTAACACTCTTTCTGTCCCTTATATTTTACCCAGGCTACCTGCTATAAGTGCAGGGAGCATTCACACCCAGAGTGGAGCACCTTTAATCCTCCCCAGAACTATCCCAAACCAATCAGTGAACTAATTTAGTAACCACACACCATTAATCCCAGCATCACACATTCTAGATCCAGCCCCCTCTGCAAAGGCCCCACCTAGGAGCACGTGAGGCTTTGAGGGGACTTCTAGACACAAGCCATAACAGCCATTTTTCTCAACCTAGAAAAATATTTTTAAAAGTGTAATTTTCTTCCTCTTTCTCCTCCTCTTTCTCTTCCTTCTCCTCTGTTTTACTTTCCTTTCTTCTCCTTTTTTCTTCTTTGTTCTTCTCTCTCATCTTCTTTTGTGGTGCTACAGTTGGAATCCAGGGCCTTGCACATGGTAGACAAGCACTGTACTGCTGAACTAGACCCCTAGCTACAACATGCATGAAATAAAAAGCAAATAGAAGGTGATGCTGGTCAGTTTATCCAACTTCTCTATCATAGATAATATTAATTCATGTTTCTGTATTGAAAGATTATATTACTGTTTTTATTGAGTTACTTAGGTACTATCTTATTCCAAAGGGATCTTTAAATTGTTATAAAATACATAATAGTCAACAAGTAAGTTGAAAGTATCTCCCAAAAATAAACATAAAAGGTATAATAACAGTTATTAGACTCTTGGATTATAATGACATGTTGTGCAAAAATCAGCTGAGGAATAGTCTTACACTATAAATCATTTTAGGGATACTTGTAATATTTCATAAAGATAACATTGTATTTTTAATTTATAAAGAGTGACTTTTTAAAAACCTAGCTAACTTTATGTTTTGAGGAGTAATGACTATGTAAAAAAAGGTGTTTTGCTTTCTGTTTTATTTATCAGTACTGGGGATTAAACCCGGGGAGTGCTGAGCTACATCCCCAGCCTCTTTTCTTTTCTTTCTGTTTTTGAGACAGTCTTCTCAAGTTGCCTGTGCTGGCCTTACACTTGCAATCCTCCCACCTCAGCCTCCCGAGTACCTGAGATTGTAGGCATGCTCCATCATACTCGGCTAAAAAGAGTTTTCAGTTTGTAACTTTACTAATTTCAGAATTCCTTTTCCATAATATTTGCCAGACTTATTAAAAACTGTAATAGTAAGAGAAACTCAACAGAATGTTCTTTCATTACTCCCCTTCAAGTATATGTGTCCTTTGGAAGAGATTAAAGTGAGAGATTTAAAATATGAGAACTAGGAAGGAAAAATATTTGAAAGCATAGAAATTGTATTAGGATAATAAATGAACATATACAGAGCCAGATCGTAAAATGAACTTTTTATTTTCTAACAAAATACATTATAAATAAGTATGTTTAACTGCAGATTTGCCTTAAAACAAGAAGAAGAGAAGAGAAAAAATGTTGATCAGTTTTATGAAAAAATTAAAGAACAGTTAAGAAAAAAGGAAGAACAATACTGTCAAGAAGTTGAAGCAAAACAGCAACTTGAAGTTTCTCTTAGAACACTGGACTTGGAACTGAAGACTGTAAGAAAGAAATTGAATCAGGTAAATTAATCTCTGATAAAAGTGTCATATTTGTGTTTTACCGATATTGTAGTATTTCTTTGATTTAATATATGGTCATGTATTGCTTAACACTGAGAAGAAGATCCAAGACTTGTGTTCTTTGGCAATTTCATTACTACGCAAGCATAAGCAGGAGGCCATGCACACTTAAAACATCAACCGCATCGCTGGGCAGTATAATCTTAAGCTATAGCTGAGGGTGCAGTCCATGGTTGAACGAAACATTGTTATGCACCGTATGACTATATTATTTAGATTGAAAATGAAATATTATCTCACCCTAAAAAAATTACAACATTTATAACTAAAAGTGTTTATTATAAATCTTGACATCTAATAGCTCAGTATGTTTTCTGAATAAAGGAATGAAAGTTGAGTTTAATCGTGAACATAAATGTCAGTTTGGCTATTTTTTGTTAAAGCTAACTAACTTTGAAACTAGTTAAATGTTTCTTCATGAAATTTTATTTTGCAATACTATCTGTGCCTATATTTAATAAATGTTTTTGCTCTTTAACAAATTTTAGCTGTCATTTATGCAATTTAAAATTTGAAGCCACACATGGTGGCACTCACCTGTAATCACAGCACTAGGAGGCTGAGGCAGAAAGATTGCTGTGAGTTCAAATCCAGCCTAGGCTACATAAGCAAGTTCAAGGCCAGCCTCCACAATATAACAAAACTTCTTTTTAAAAGAAAAAAAAGAAAGAAAGAAAAAAAGGAAAGAAAATTTGAGTTGCTCATGTGGAATACAGGTCTTTATGCTTTCATAGACTACTTTTTAACAGGTTTTTTTTTTTTCCTTAAAAGTTCTGCTGTTAAACTTTTAGGTATTTTTCCCCCAAAGGTATGAGTTACAAAACATAATGAAATGTATTTCTAGGTTTTAGAAGAACAAAATGACACTCAGAGGCAACTTTCTCGAGAACAGAATGCCCGAATGTTACAAGACAGGATTCTGGCAAATCGCCTTTGTGAACAAAAGGAGATAGAAATGACACAAGAGAAAATGAGTCCTGAGGTACTTCCTTTAGCCATTTTCAAATGTGTGTGTTTATCTTTGTACATATTTTACAGGTCAACTACAGGCATGTATAGAAAGCACGGATGATTTTTAAACCACTTATGTGTGTACTAAATACAGTATATGTATTTAGGAGGCGGTGCCATTTTTTACTTACTGGATAAAGTAATGTTCTTCATTCACCTCCAGTGGTCTGCAGCCGTCAAGTGGTCAAATTCTCAATGGCCTCACCCCAAGGAAAGGTTTTTAATATTTCCCATAGGCATTAATAGTTTTTCTATGATCTTAAAATCCTTCCCACTAAGTTTTACTCTAGTTTTAGGCAGTGATTTCACCCCATTGGAGTGCTGATGCAGAGGTTTGTTTATTACTGCCACTATTGGGTAAGAGGGAAAAGGGTAGCCAGCAGAGACGCTATTTTAGATGGCATTTCCTACTTTTGAGCATAGTGACAGTGTGGTCCAAGTAAAGATCTGGTGTTTTGTTTCTGTTAAAATAGCTCAGTGTCTTTTCCTGTTTCACATTTACTAGTGTTTCAAACACTGAAAAGGAAACAGAAAGTTACTGCAACAGCACCTTATCTCAGGATTTTCTAAGAGGAGTGCTACACATTTTATCTCATTTACCATAAGCATTTTGAAGTATAAACCTTTTTTATCTTTACATATTTATAATACACAAAAAACTGGTTTGGTGAAAGCATTGAGTGTAGAGTCAGAGATGGGAAATCCTGTAGTTTGCTTATATTTTAACCTCTTCTTTTTAGAAGTAGATAACTAAATGAGTTATTGATGTATGTGGCAGTGATTACTGCAGTGCTTACATTTAGCATTTATCAATAACTAATTCTTTTTTTTTTTGTTTTTTCTCTGGTACCGGGAACCGAACTCACGACCTTGCGCTTGCCAGGCAGGCGCTTTGCCACTGAGCTAAATCCCCAGCCCCTCAATAACTAATTGTTATAACTGGTACAGAAATGTTAGAAAAGTAGACTATGTGATATTTTCAGGAAAAAGGAACTAAAGAACTTTAGAAAATTCCACCTGTTATAATACATGTAGCACTTAGACCCTTAATATGGACTGGCTATATACATTAGATATCAGAGTGTAAACCTAATTTTTAGTGTAATCACATTTTAAAATTTTTTACTTTATATCTTGTATCTGTTATAATTCAGGAAAAGGGTTTTCCAATTCTAAGATTCCTAAGAATTACATTTCTTTTTACAATTATGGATTGTGCCATCCTGTAAATTTTTTAAGCTCTTGGGAACTTATGCTTCTATAAACGTCGATATTTCAATCTAATTTTACTCAGCTGGATATCTATTTATTGTGGGACCTTCAATGTATAAATATACAGGTTATTTAATTTCAGAGGAAATCGCAGAATGTCATTTTACTGAGCACTAGCTAAATGTCTCCTTTGTTTTACTTAGGTTTCTGTTAGTCACGAAGAAGATCTGTTGCATAAAAATCACAGGTTACAGGAGGAACTTGCCATGATTAGACTAGAAATAGATGCAATAAAAAATCTGAACCAAGAAAAAGAAAAGAAATATCTGGAAGATATTGAAATTGCAAATAAAAAGAATGATGACCTCCAGAGGACAATAAAAGTGAATGAGGAAACATTTACAAAAACAATATTCCAGTATAATGGGCAGCTTAATATTCTGACAGTAGAAAATACAATGCTAAATTCTAAACTAGAGAATGAAAAACAAAACAGGGAAAGACTGGAAACAGAAATTGAATCATACCGTTCCAGACTGGCTGCTGCTGTGCATGATTATGATGAAAGTCAGACATCTAAAAGAGAACTAGAACTTGCTTTCCAGAGAGCAAGAGATGAGTGGTTTCGTTTACAGGACAAGATGAATTCTGATATATCTAACCTAAAAGATAACAATGACATCCTTTCCCACCAGCTTTCTAAAGTGGAAAAAAAATTCAATAGCCTAGAAATTGAGCTCCATCATACAAGAGATGCTCTTAGAGAGAAGACTTCAGGTTTAGAACAGGTACAAAGAGACCTAAACCAATCACAGTGTCAAATGAAAGAATTGAAACACATGTATCAGGATGAGCAAGGAAAAGTGAATAAGTACGTGGGAAAGCAGGAATCTATGCTGGAGAGATTATCTCAACTACAAAGTGAAAATACATTGCTTCGACAGCAGTTGGATGATGCTCACAACAAAGCTGACTGTAAAGAAAAGAGAGTAATTAATATCCAAGACCAGTTTCACGAGATTGTGAAAACACTTCAAGGTGAGAGTGAAAAACAAAGCCTCATGCTGGAAGACAGAAATAAAGAGTTACTCCATGAATGCAGTCATTTAAAAGAAAGACTGTGTCAATATGAAAAGGAGAAAGGAGAAAGAGAAGTAAGTATCAAGAAGGGTAAATATTCTTCAAACTTGTGAAGAAAGCTCAAAGTTAATTTCACTATGGGTAAATGTTTAATCTAGTTGAATATAAAAGTATATCATTTATAAATGTACTTCCTGTGTCAGCCCAGAAACACACCTTGTTTGCAGCAAATACAGCTTAGATCTGATTCCCACCAAAGTGTTCCCTGAGGTGATGAGTGTCCCTGACCCCTGACCCAAGCGGCACACATTTGTGCATGTTCTGAGTAGGTACCCTATACCTCAGAAACATGAAAAGTTAAACATTATCATGTCTGGGTTAAATGTTTTTAAAACTTTCAGATTATATAAACTAAATTTGAAATGCGAAAGGAAATAATTAGATCTGAGTCGTGAGGGAGAGTTATTTCTTACTGTTTTTGGTGCTGGGAATTAAACCCAAGACCTTATGCATGTGCTCTACCCTGACTTGTACTCCAGCCCTAAAATAATTTTAATCTTTCTGCTGCTGTATTTTAAGACCATGATAAAGATGATGAATGGAAATGCTCCTAAGATGAGCATTTTAAATTAAATGGGGTAGGGCTGGGGATTTAGCTCAGCGGCAAAAGCGCCTGCCTGGCAAGCGCAAGGTCGTGAGTTCGGTTCCTGGTACCGGAGAAAAACCAAAAAAAAATAAA